CTTTTTATGGTTTGGAACGATCTTCATGTACTTGCTACTAGCTATGTAACAAGGTTAGTGCATATGACTTGTATGCTCTGGCTCAAAGGGGTGTGTAGGAAGTAAGTGTGGAATAAAGTTGTGAATAAAGTAGGAACATTTCTGGAAAGTACCAATTCCAGAACCTTAGAATAGGGGACTATAGAACAAAAAGATGAAAAGGTTTCTCCAAGATAAACAGTTTTAAATTATACTAAAGCATCATACTCTAAAGTTATTTTCTTAAAAGGTTAAGTCACTAGTTAACTAATAGTGATGATGATGATGATGACAAAGAGAAAATGAAGCAATAACATACAATTGCCCCTGATGTACAGTTGACTATAATATCTCCACCATTGATTTCAACAACCTCTCCATCTATCCAAGCTACCTCAGGATCCTCAACCCAAACATGTGTTCCAACAACTACACTGGAAACACTCTGCAAGAAATGGTTAAAATTACTAGCATGAAAATCCAAACAGAAATATAGGTGTTGAAAATTACACTATACACTAACCACACAAATCATATTTGTTTTTAAAAAATGTATAAAGATACACCTATCCACGCAATAAAACTATGAATCACGGAGGAAGGAGAATAAGAAGAAGAAGAAGAAGAAGAAGAAGAAGAAGAAGAATGGAACATCTAAGTCATGATTTATGAAAACTTCATGGAACACCTATCAATCCTCGACTAAAATCTAGTAATGATTTATGAAAATTTCATGGAACATCTAAGTCATGATTACCATCAATTCTCGTCTAAAAGTAATTACTTATGAAAACTTCATTATTATTAAAAACAAATCTTTCAACAGAGCCATGCTCTTTTAAACCTCAAGAGGATGGAACATTTCCCAGAGTATCTTTGCTCAGACTTGCAACTGTGGGGGATTCTACTAGAAAAATAAATAGTACTCCTTTTTTTCCTATCTCTACGAAATCTTGTCATTGTTAAGTCAGATATTATGAGATTTTCCTTTTTTTAGTTATCTTGTCTTGTCCATGCAGAAATCACAGTTTGATGCATGGAAATTATTTTATCCCAGTAAAAACAAGAGAAAATTGTATCCATTAGACCTCTCCAATGCATTGCTGCACTGAACTTATAAACATGACTTGAAATGTAAATAAATCACATTACCATTTCTTCAACTCCAAGAGAAATCAAGATCCTTCTCTATGGAAATTCCTTCAAATCCTCAACGCCTTTAAAATCATGGATTCTTCTCCCTATCAATCCATATCCTGCGCCACACCTATAATGTATTGCTTGTTGCATGAATAGACAGGGCGGGGGAAAAAGGGTTTTTGCTCTATATTCTGTGTCCAATGGGAGAGGAAGGAGGAAATTTAGGAGTGGCGAGTGAAGGGTTTAGAGAAATCAAATGGGGAAGAGACCCTGTCGATCAAAATCGTTCGATTTCTCCCCCGATCGAAATAGCTCAAACCCTTCTGCAACTTTCCCTTTCCCAGCGTAAAGACGGCCGGAAACCCTCTCGCTCTCAAATCACTCGCTCTATCTCTCCCGTGCGGCAACGGAATTGAAATGGCTATATCGCATTTTATTCAAAATCTCCCTCTCTCTCTCTCTCTCTTTCTCTCCCTTGTGCGTAAGCGGTGCTCACGTAAAACAATGCAGGAGATTGCAGCTCCGCTGAGATGCATGTGCAATTGGAGTAGGGTGTACACACATATATAGAAAATAGCTAATGCATTTCGTTGTAATGCCTAGAGCTGACAAATCGGTCGGTCAGGTCGGGTTCGGTCATTTAAAGTTTGGGTTATATTGGGTTCGGATCAATTCAAGTTTGGATTGAGAACTGTATGTTCATGACCCAGTGTCATCGAGATCGGGTCGACCCAACGGGTTATGACTTTGATTTTTTAAATTTTTAAATTCACATTAACACTTACATTTTCTATTAAATAAATTTAAAATATCAAAAAAAAAATTAATCTACAAAATTATTTTATTTTACACTCTAAAGTAGTTTTTAGATATATAAATCAACATAAGGAATTTAAAAATGCTTAAGTTTTGGAAAAAAGTAAGATAATTATATAATATCATTAAAATTTTGTTTGAAAATATAAATTTATACACTAAAAACATGTAAAAAAGTGTATAATTTTGAAAAAAATCTTACTTTAGCGGGTCGATCATGTCGGGTTCGGGTTTGGTCGGGTTTGACCCATTTTTAGCGGGTCATTTCGGGTTCAGTCATCAAAACCTTTGTTCAAAACCCAGTGTTTTCAGGTCGGGTTTCGGGTCAAAAACAGGTCAGGTCACTTTTTGTCAGGTCACTTTTTGTCAGGTCTAGTAGTAAATATTTTGTTGTAATGACTGGGAAAGGATATTCCATCCAATATTTCATTTTCTTATAATGACTGGGAAGGAATACACCATCCAACATTTCATCCATTAATGTTAATAAAAATATTCTTTCCTATTTTTTCCTTAATGTTTTATGATAATAATTCTTAGGTTTTTTTTTATTTTTTATTTTTCTTTTTTTACTCTTTTTTAAAGTTTTTTTTAGAATTTATCTATAAATCGTATAAAAATTCAAAAATGTATGATATAAAAATAAATGAAATAAAAAATTTTCTAAAAAACAAAAAACTGAGTAATGGAAAAATGGGGAAAAATACATTTATTAATGTTGTGAATAAAGTATTGGATGAAATGTCCCCTCTAAGTCATTACAATAAAATGTATGGATCTCTGTTGTCTTTTTGAAAATAGAGGGGCCTGAGAGTTATTTCTACAAAACTCGTGTCACTCGTATGTAATTTTCTGCCATTATATTCGGCCTATTTGAGAAAGCATAGTTAATTTTAAAAAAAATCAAAATTAATCAATATCATTAAAAATTATTTATATTTAAAATATTGACGTTATGTTTATTGAATTCAATAGGGAGTATAATATTTCTCTGGTCCATAAAAAAATCATTTCTTATCTTATTATTTTTTTACTTTGATCTGTTCTGTTTATTAATACTACAAGTTTTATGTGTTTTTAATATATATTTTTCACATCAAAATAAAAGGCAAGCGTGCAACAAGCTACGCCACTAGCCCCTTTTTAATAGCAAAACTATGTCTTTTGAAAACTACATTGGGCGAGAAAATCAATGGTGTCAACTGAAAATGGTATAAACACATGTTAGTTGTCGAGGCATGCTCTCTCGTGTTTGGTCACTATGCATGAAACAATTTTCAGCGCAGTGTGGCCCACCGTGAAAACACCAGTCTCCAAGCCTACAAGAGGAAAAACTCATGTTAAATTCACACAAGCATGTTTCGTGTTTATCCATCCAAAGACCAAAATATCAACTTGTCTAAAGTATTGATCTTCATTCCAATAGTGTAGTCAAGAAATTTTGGTGCTTCTTTCTTAACAGAAATTCCAGTACGCCAGAATATGTCAAAGAGAACGTCTCTAACCAAATCATGGCGACACTTAAACCTCGGTGGCTCTCTACAATGTACTACATGCTCCCCAAATGGATCCAAACACACCTTGCAACAAAGAGAACATTTCTCATGCATCAGCCGAAAATAAATGAATTATGAGTAAATTCACTTCCCGGTATTTAATTATTCAATTCCCGAAATCACGTACTCCATGCTCATCATATTTAATTTTTTTATTTTTGTGGAATAATAAACTTTTTAATGTAAAGTTTTTATTAAATAGATGTTATCATTTCTTAACATTTTCATGAATTTTAACCATTCAAAGTTATTTTTCAAGAAAACTTTAGCGAAACTGAATGAAGTATTTTGCAATCTTTCAAAAATAGAGAAGTTCTGTGGTTCCTTCTCACACAATTTTTTGACTTTTTCATTTAAAAATGTGTATCTCAATACTTGAAAAATGTTTATATAGCAAATATGAAAGTCAACCATTTAGACACTATGAACCTTAGGTCCGGACCATAAAAATATTGCACGTGTGAGCAATTCAGTTATGATTAACCAAAATACGGAATACTA